GAGGTTTTAACCTCTCGCTCCTTATTACGTGTCACTGGTCGACAACGGTTGCCAAATAATGTTACTTTCCCGGTTTACTTACTACCATGCCATCTGTTATCGACAGCTGAAACTATTTAGACCACTCGCACAACATGAGTTCCGATATTCGAAAGGAAACTAATTTTTCACTCAGAAACAAACTCCGTGGTTTTAATCCGCAAGCGAACTATACCGACCGAGCGACTGCCGCTTGTCAGCGAAGTTAGTGCCAACTTTAGAGGAAAGAGGGTGTCGCGTGGTCAGCGCAACGAATCCCCACAGCCGTTAATTTCGGTTTTCTAGACCGGAGCCGCTGTTTCCTTGAAACCTTGAAACGGTTGGGTGGGCCCCAGAGCCAATCTGGAAGTTACGGAAAATGAGAAATCTCAGCCCCTACTGGAAATCGAACCCCAATTCCGCGGCAGTCCAGATTGTAGTCTACTGACTCTAGGTCACGGGCTGGACGACAGAGGAATTGTGGTTCGATTTCCGGCAGAGGCAAAGGATTTTTATCTTCTACACAGCGTCCAGATCAATTCTGGGGCCCAGCCAGACTCCTACCCAAAGAATACCAAGAGTTCCTAACCCACGGGGTAAAATGGCCGGGGCGTGAAGCTAACCGCTCATCTCTAACCAGTTCCAAGACCACGAATGCGTGAAACTATACCTACACTCCCCAATATCAAAGTTCATGGAGTGTCATTTAATTACGAAAAGGGACAACTTAACTTTACTAGTGGAGTCCAAGGCGGAAAGTTTGACAGTTCCCATGTCTGGGTACGGCTTCCAGAGGTAACCACTCCTCAACTGGGGAACTTGTGGGATATTTTGTTGAACACTCTTACAATATAAGAGGAAAAATATTTACAATTACACATTTTAATATACATTTTATCCCAGTGACATTAAAACTATGGCTTCATTAAATTTAATAGGATATGAACTTGAGAACAATTCTGGAAAGGGAACTGCAGCTTGATATAATAACAGTTCAGGTGTATTATTTTTTTGGGGGGGGGTACAAAGGTCGACACGTGAAAATACAAACTGAAACTTCCGTTTATTACAGTCATCTTACGGTCTTACTGTAACTCTGACGAGTTCTACATTACGACAAACACCGTCCTGCTTAAACTAATCATATGCAGGTCGCCATGGCATGCCACTGTAGGCAATGGAAAAAATCAAGAGATATCCTCAGAGCCAGTCCTTACTTGAATGTCTCGCATACAAAGTAGGCTAGATCATACCAGAAAGTTCTACGTGTAGACAGTACCTGTATCCTGAATACGTGCTTGCCTGTTTCCCCACCACTTCCCTTCATCCCCCCCCATAGTTAAGAAGTTGGAGGCATTGGAATTTTCCATTCGAATTTGAAGGTTTGCGTAAGGTCAGAGGATATTCGAGATAAGCTAAAACAAACAGAATGTACAAACCTTGCCAGGTGATGCTGATAAAAACTAAGAACACGATTTGCTACCAGCTGAAGTACAAGCATAGAAAGCGACGGATTTCTATTGACACGGATTTCAAATCGAGTACTGTACTCATCAAATAAACTGCATCACACATCAAAGATCTTGGAGTTTCTAAGTTCGCATATGCATTTCGGTGATTTAGTTCCGAAGAATTTTTGTTAGGGACTTATTTAAGGACGCCATCAGCATCTCAGATTATACATGTGTCCAATAGTATCGGTCATTCTAAGCAAAGAAGTGTATATGTACATGTGTCCTGTTCCGAACGGTTTCCGAGATAGAGCTGTTTCACTGTACAGTACACTGTACACTGTACAGACGGGCAACACGCCATGTTCTCACACGAGTTGCAAAGTGCATTGATGTTGACAGTGGAATTTTCGTAGGTAACCTATACCAACTTTGTCACTTGAACAAGAAATACCGGTATTAGAAACAGTACGTAATATCTGTTTCTTATCAACAGTTTTGGAACTGCACAGTGAAATGGCTGTATCTCGGAAACCGTTCGGAATAGGACACATGTACATATACACATTTTTGCTTAGAATGACCGATACTGTGGCCTCCCGGAATATTGACCTTTCCTCCCGGGACACCCTGTATAGCACTGAATGATATGATGTGTGACTGAAAATGGGGTGGAAAGAAGAGGTTGTGGCCTAATTTAAGGCTTGTCGACTATCCCGGCATTTACCTAACCGGACCGAGGAAAACTATGAGGACCACAATTAGGAAAGACTGTGCATCAACCGAGATCCGAACTGGATATTTCCCGAAGTAACTTAACCTCTCTGGGACGCTAACAGGCGGCCGTCAGCTAATTAACCAATTCCCCGCATTTCAGTACCGTAACATTTGGGACACTCGATGCGGTGAATATGAGAAGTTCTGTCTTCTGCGATACAACACCGTGTGGTATGTTGAAAGTCAGCCGACGTTTCGGAAGAAAATGTCGTCTCTAACTTCAGCGTCGAAGAATAATCCGACCGAGAAACCAGCGTGTAAGCAGATGGCAAGCAGAGCCGAGCTGGTTTCTTCTTCGGCTTATTCTTCAACCTGAAGATGGAGGCGACACTTTTTTCCGAAACGTCGGCTGACTTTCAACGGACTACACGACGCTATACTCGTATCATACAAGAGGAGAATCTTCAAGATAGCAGACAGGTTATCAACGTTTCCATTTTTAACCTGAAGATGGAGCCAACATATCCCTCAGAAACGTTGATATATTTCCCACTGAACTACATATGCCATCACATCCAAGAATATCGTAATCTTAAGTTTAATACCGTGTTCACAAGAGCCCGCCACTGTTTCAAATCCTGAGCCGGATTAATCCAGTTCATATAGTCATATCCTATTTCATTAAGATCCATTATAATACTACTAGCCACATTTTCAAGTCTGTAACTTCAACTTCAATACTTTTAGTTCTATCAGTACCTTCACATCGGCATGTACCACCTGGAGACAGTAATTTCAATTTATTATTGCGCCGTAATACACACCGTGGTCTATTATTTTTCCAAGTCCAGATATGAGACAGAAATAGATTTATGAACTTTTTACTACACATTCGAACACAGCTGTAAACCAACCACGTGTATGAGTGACTACAGACGGGGTTCTGGATTGGTTAGTGGATTTACTGACCACTTTAACACATAACTCGTAATTACACTTAATTATAACGTCATAGCTAATTTCCACGCTTTACAGCTCACTACAGCACAAGCTAAGTCCTTTCCAGCCCGCAGTAGTTGCCTGGTAACGGCTCATAACAATGTCAATTCCTCTGCTTCCGTGCGCAAGTCCACCCTGAACGGCGGCTACCCTCCAACTGAATTATTCTTGCTTCTATTGTCCTCCTTATAAACCCTTTGCATGGACCGAACAGAAAACGCCGTTTCCAGCAATACCTTTATTGTTGCATGCGTATCCGTTGCAACTGGAACGTGTTTACCGAACTGTTGCCTAGAAACGTTTCTACACTCCACAGTACATTCGCACACAGATGTAAACCAACCGAAAAGGTCAGTGAGGTTTAACTTCGCAGCGAACTTTAAACAAATAGAGATGGAGGTTTAACTTCGCAGCGAACTTTAAACAAATAGAGATGAATACTCACGCTCAGAAACCGGGAGATTCCTTGCCGTAACTGCGATTCTAAGTCGAATAGTACTACATTGTGGGAAGTGATGCTGTGTGGTCTGGTAGAGATTTACCGACGTTTCGGAGGAAAATAATCCTTCAATTTCAGGGTAGAAGATACAAAATTAATTTTGATGTAACACAATTAAATGCATTCTTACACCACTGCAAACCGGCCTCCGTAGTCTAGGGGTAACGTTCCCACCTCATGACTCAAGGTACGCCGGTTCAAACCCGGCGGAGGTCGTGGAATTTTTAATGGTGGAAAAATTCAAGGAACAAGTCCTTCGGGAGGGACTTTAAACCGTGGGTCCCGTGGATCCTCATGTCTCTAGGAGACCCCCGAGCAAAATTAGGCAAAGTTTCCCGCCCGAGTAGTTTCCAATGCCTCCGGTAGATAGGGAAGTATCGGGAACCACTGCCAGCTTCTTTGGCTGAACGGGGCTGATGGCGAGCACCAGTACCGGCAGGGTATGGCGACTGGTACAATATCAAAGGGGGACGTACAATAGACTATTAGTCGCGGTGCATGGGGAAACCCACCCCCTCAAAAAAAATAATAATAATAATACACCACTGCAAGGACTGACAAAATCTGACGGCAAATAAATACAGATATACTGTGTCTCAAACATCTCTTTATGTGCGACATCATCAGACAGTCATTTGGAAGTTCCTAGATCCTATTTCCAGCACAGTGCGAGATCAGAAATTCCCATAATGGCTATCTCGTTGAAGATGGCCTACTACAAAAATGACGTACCTTCGAAGACGTTTTAGACAATTTTTTTTTGTAACGGGAAGACTTACTTACTTACTTGTACTTAAGGAGGTGAGCCCTTCTTGAGGAGGAGCCAAATCTCTAGCTACTCAAGAATTTCCCAACATTTTATGGAACCCGAAAGTTCAGTACCGTGTTCACAAGAGCCCTCCACCGGTCCATATCCTGAGCCAGATCAATCCAATCCATACCATCCCATCCTATCACTCTATGATCCATTTTAATATTGTCCACCCACCTACTCCTTGGTCTTCCCAGTGTTCTCTTTCCTTCTGGCTTTCCCCACCAATATCCTATATGCATTCCTCTTGTCCCCCAAGACTGAAAGTTCAAAATACAGCATAAGATGCACGTGACTATCACGAAAAAATGTATAGATTATCAAAGTCGGCGCCGTATTACGTATCCACCAGCAAAAGGGATACCGGAAGTCCCAAAATAAAATGACAGTTGATACTCCCAAACAACACAAGCTCAAGAAGTGAAATAAGGTGCATATATACGTACCCATATAATAAACATACTGCTGTAACTACTGACGTCATCTATATACCTGACTGTTTCAGAAATCGTGGATTGGTAGTTTAATGCCACTGTCTGCCTTACTTGGAGGAATCGCTGGAGGACCTCTGATCGAAACGATTGGGCGGAAAACAACAATCCTAGCAACAGCACTGCCATTCATTGTCTGTAAGTACAATGTACTTGACACATAACATCCAGACAATATATGCAACCTTCCACACAGAGCTTCGAGGTTTCCACGGGACACGTGACTTGGCATAACTATACAAGAAGTGTGTTTAGAATTCCTGTAACATTTCCTACATGACATCCAATAATAAACACGAGGTCAGCAAGAGACGAATGATTACACAATTCAGTGATCCATTTCAGGGGCATAATTTGCAATACCACAGGTTCTTATTATTTTAACCCTTCGAAGCATGAAAAGTGAGACACAGGGAGACAGGGAGGAGAAGAGGGAGAAGGAAAGTGGAAGGGCAAGTAGAGTGAGATGACAGTTTGCGGGGGTAAACAGAAATACTTCCTGCTTTAAAGGTTCCCTGACATTGTCCGCTAGTCGTTCTGGTAGAGGCACGTTGCAGAGAAGGTAAAGCGTTGGGGAGTGAAGAAGGTAAAGTGTTACGAACTGAAGTCTTTTTAAGTTCGTTCTCGTAAAGGCAGATTGCAGAAAAGGTAAAGCGTTGGGGAATGAAGAATGTAAAGCGTTAGGAACAGAAGTCTTTTAAGTTATGAGCACAGGAAAGAAGCTGAGTACGAGCTTTAATCCGTCTGATTGAAATGGTGATACTAACACTGGGAGGGCTGCACGTGAAACATGCATTGGAACGTGGAACTGAGGTTAGATTTCGGACTGAAAACGAGCGGAAATGTTAGAGTCACTTTTTGATTTATGCTCGTTTGATTTACGCAGCTTCGGTTTAACGCGAGTGAAGAATACGCAGGTCTACCACATCTTAATTTATGTTGTTTCGCTTTAACGCGATTACGCAATTAGTTAACCGGCAATTTCTTAATTAACTCCGTTTTAACTATCACTTTACAGCGATTACTCGATCTGTAACATGCAACATGGCGGACAACTGCGTGGCGTAGAAGACAACAGAAGCTGCGCGTAAGTAGCTGCGCAGAGCGACGTCATAAAATTCAAAACGAGATATCTGACACGAATAAATATCTATAACCGTTTCGATACGCGTTTTAAATTTACGCGATGGTTCCCAGGGCCGCATCTACAGCATACCAGAAATTAATACATCCATAACGATATAGTCCTATATGTTTGTCGTTGTATACCTGATACACAAGGTACAATGTTGAACTGTGACGTCATGCGTGACGTAATACTGACCCAATTCAGGACCGTTGAACCAACTACGGGTTATTGCCTCTAACACCAAATCCGATTACGGGCCAGTTCAGTCCCGTTCACATTCTCACACTATGCTGTGAGCTACTTCAGTGAGCCCTACCATTGCTCGGGCAGTTGGGTGCTAGCTTCTCATTGTGGAGCCTCTGGATCAGTCCCAGATGCGGCACTGCGGTAGGTTTTCGTCCTTAAGTATTCCCCCTGCTAATCATCATTCCACCATTGCATAATTTCGAACTATCACCGTTCCATGAGACGGGCGACAACCCTGATCACGCTTTGTGGTTTCATATAGGACCCGGAAGTTGGCTGGTTACAGACGGAGGACGCGAAGTTGTTTTAAGGCTATTTTAATATAATTATCCTTTTAGGCCTCTGTTTGCCACAACACTGAGTTTAGGCTAGCTCTTCTACAGCTTTAGCAGGAATCTTTCGTTCCTTGCACCTGACGACAGAAACAGATTCAGTTTCCGAAACGCTGTGACTCAAAGAAAGATCCATGACGACTGATAATGTCCTAAATCGTAGACTTCATCTGATTTCCTGATCCGACTCACTCACAGAGCTGAGTCCTTCTTGAGGAGCCGCCAATTGTGCAGTTACTTAAGAACTTCTCAGCATTTTATGGAACCCAAAGGTTCATTACCGTGTTCACAAGAGCCCTCCACCGATCCCTATCATGAGCCAGAATAATCCATACCATCCCATCCCACCTTTCTAAGATCCATTTTAATATTGTCCACCCACCTACGCCTTGGTCTTCCCAGTGGTCTCTTTCCTTCTGGCTTTCCCACCAATATCCTATATGCATTCGTCTCCCCTGCCCACCTCATACTATAGTTACTACCAACCATGGCTGATAACATACATGTCTTGCTTGTTACAGCATGGCTGCTGATTGCCCTGGCTGTCAACGTGCCGATGCTGTACGCCGGTAGGGTTGTGGCAGGTTTCTGTGTTGGCATTGTGTCCCTGTGCTTCCCTGTGTACCTGGGAGAAACACTTCAACCAGAGGTCAGGGGCATGCTGGGGCTTCTACCAACGGCTTTCGGTAATGTAGGTAAGTTATGAAACTCCCTTCACAGTGACACTAAAGGTATTTAGGTGCCAAATTCTTGTTACTTCCAGTATCCTGTCGGTTCTCTTTTTTTTACGACACTGTCGGTATATCATCGGTTGGATAAGTGACAAATGGGAAAGGATTTGGAAGGAAGCGGTAGAGACTGGGATAAACCACGAAAAGAATCAGCCAGGATAGACCTGGCCGACCATCTCCCGAGTGCCGTGCCAATCTCTGGCGGTTAGCTGCAGGTTTCCCACCGTGGAGACCTTGGCTCGAGCCCAGGTCAGGTGACGCAGGATTTTTGGCGGACAACAAAGTCATATTGGGGATGGTTTTATCTGAGTACTTTGGTTTCCCCTTCCGATTTTCACTCCATCAACCATTCCACATCCATTCATTATTCTCTCATAGACGCCATATAGTCTCGAAACTGACAGCGTCGTTAAATAACCAACTTAAAATAAAGTCTCCTGAATACAAAGCTAGAGCGCTATCGCTGCACTAACCCGCTCGGTGCGTACTTCGGTTTTCAGTTTCTTCACTTTTGCATTAAAATTACTTCTTCATAGATGGACCGTCTGTGTGGTCTAGTGGTCAGAGTTCCTGGCTACAGATCCAGAGGTCCGGGTTCGATTCCTGGCGCTACCAGATTTTCTGAGAAGTAGTGTGTCTGGAACGGGGTTCACTCAGCCTCGTGAGGATAACTGAGGAGCTATTTCAAGGAAATAGCGGCTCCGGTCTAGAAAACCGAGATTAACGGCCGTGGGGATTCGTTGCGCTGACCACGCGACACCCTCTATCCGCTAAAGTTGGCACTAACTTTGCCGACAAACGGCGGTCGCTCGGTCGGTATAGTTCGCTTGCGGGCTAAAACCACGGAGTTTATTTTGTTTGTTGTTTGCTTGATAGATGATTTCGAAATTTTTAAATTAAGAAATTTGATATTTTGTTACAAATATTGTGAGTTCGTAACAATATACCACTTCACAGGGCGTCACTCCCCGTAAGATAGAAATCTCCCAAGGAAGAGGTAACTTTGGTGGTGTAACCATAAAGGGGAATATAACATTACAGAATCATGTTATGAAAATGTGAACTCCATGCAGATGGCACAGGACAGGGTCCAATGGAGATCTCTTATGACCTCGTCGATGAACCTTCACATTCCATACCAACAGCGAATTTCTTGATCAGATGTATGTTTACCAACTACTCAACTGCAGTTTGTTATACATATGCTTTCCATATGGGACTAAGAGATTTTGAAAACTTCCTTTTAATTTGGCTGTTCAGTCAACCAAGGAAGTGGAAAAATAAGTCCACTATGATGGCAAAGCCCATATTCATTGTACTTTATTGTAGGTACAGCACAGTCAAAGAGTTTTCGGAGGAACTTCTTGCCGCCACCTTCAGGGTGAAAGTTAAGATGTTTAAACTTTTATATACAGTTAACTTGGTTCATCCTGGTCCATCACACTAGTAACTGCATATAAGGTTTCTAGCCAATGTCCAGTGTGATTGATAAAAGTTTTTAATTTTTAATCTCTACGTGTTATCAAAATGTGTTGATAATATCCTTGTGAAGATGGCCGTTTTGACAGAAACATGTAAAGATTGAAAAATTAAAAAAAAAACACAACTCTTATCAATCACACTGGACGGTAGTTAAAAATCTCATATATTTTTATATACAGCATACAACAGACTCACAAATCTGTGGTGAGTCCAGGCTACTCTGAGAGATGCCCACAATAATCCACAATAAACCCCAAAGCCTGTTTCATATTTTTCTAAATCTTACTGTATTTTCAACAGGAATCCTACTATGCTACTCTGCCGGAAAGTATCTGAACTGGTCCATGCTTGCAACTCTGGGAGCCTGCATTCCTGTACCGTTCCTGGTCTGCATGCTGTTCATCCCAGAGACACCAAGATGGTACTTCTCAAAGGGTAAGTAACAAACTGGTATACAAAAGATTATCTTTTAAGGCCTGAAATTCATCTGAATAATATGTAACAGGTCAATCACTACCTCAGAGAAAACACACTAAATTAGCGCATAAAACACTAGTCGGTATAGCGACGGACTACGGGCTGGACAGCCGGTGTTCGATTCCCGGCAGAGGCAAGAGACTGTTCCATTATCCATACCATCCAGACTGGCTCTGGGGCCCACCCAGCCTCTTAAATATGTATGGGGTAAAGAGGGGCATGAAGCTGACTACCCACACCTATCTAGTGCCATGACGTGACAACAAAACCTCCACTCCAACATACATCTTCATGGAGTGGTGCTTAATTAATCAAGCACAGGGGCAATGGTACCTTTACCTTTATGAAAGAATATTTACTCTTTTGAAGGTTTAGAACAAGTAATGGGGCACATCACGCATCAGTTTGGAACATGGAAGGTATCCATGCCTGACAAGTGTTTATGTGCCTTGGTGTCCAGGGAGAAAGCTCAATGACATTCAAGAATTCAATTCAGACATCACAAAGTAGGATTTACTTGAAGATGGAGGCACAATCCAGTCTCCGAAACGCTGTGTTTTTAAATAGAAACAGGATGATGGATAATGTCCAGAAACAATATCTGTACACTACATCTCCATTATAAAGATCAACTGCTTAATTCTGTATATTCTGAAACACATACGGAACAATGTGGACGAAATAAGGTTCTGAGGATTATCCAAATATTAGAGTATGTTGTGACCACTCTGCTTTGAAGTGCTAAACACACGTAATATTCTGAAAATAAATATCTGAAGCCACAGAGTTTCAAAGTCACGCTACAGACATAAAATTTCCCATAGACAGAAATTATGTTTCCTGTATTTCATTAAATATTCATCATAGTGAAATTTTTCATATTAAATTAGGAGATTTAATTATACTTCAGACTATGTACGAGTTTCTTGGATAATAAACTTTCTTAAAAAAAAAAGTTTTAAATCTGAATAGATCCCCATGTAAAGTAAGTAATATACTGGGTAGATATAAACCAAAATTAAATTTAAGCAATTTAAATTGACTTTCGATAGACTACATGACATTATATCACAGAAGATGGTATACTCTTTAAAATTAAATTTAAGTTTAAGCATCTTCTGGGACGTGATACAGAATAATTTGGTGTATAGGTACCAACACTTCTGAGGAATCTGCAGGCTCCAACAGCTATCCTGAAGGAAGGAATGTTGGTACCTTGCTATCAAACCATATGCCGCGATCATAGAATTCAGAACAGTAAGAATCTCATATAAGAAAACAAAAATTTGGCTGACAACTTTCTGTGTGGACTCCAAACAAATTCAAATTGAAATCCACTGTAGGGTCTCAGAGACCGACACGCAGCCAGAGGGCCATTACCTCCCCTCTGTGGGGGGGGGGAATGCAATCTCTCCAATATCTGTTATGAAAATTCTTCTAATATGTACAGCAGTATAGATTCAAACCATTACATGTAAAATAAAGTTCCATCATTTGTCTTTGTAGCCAAGGGAAAATGTGCCATGAAATCTCTTCAGTGGTTACGTGGAAAGGATGCTGACATCTCACAAGAGTTGAAGGAAATTGAAAATATTAACAACGAATCACTGAAGAGCCCTTCTGGCTCATCATTCGAACTATTCAACAAGAGCAACTTAAAGCCTCTCCTCATATCTCTCGGCCTGATGTTCTTCCAGCAAATGAGCGGCATTAACGCCGTTGTCTTCTACACAGTGATGATATTTAAGGTAAGGCAATCTATATCAAGGGCTTATAAACGTACTGCATTTGACTATAACAAGTTCAACAGTTCTCAGCTCCACCACATGGCTATCACCAACATCAATGTCAACAGAAAGGTCACACAGATAAAGGAGGTCAATCCATATGAGTTCTGTCTGTGACCTCTGCACAGCTGTGAAACATGATGTAGGCTGTGCTTAGACCTGACCTCTGGCTTCTGTGTAGGGTAGAGCATGGCAAATAGCAGGGCAGTGGTTCTACTGCTTTGTGAGAGACTCAGGGAGGGAGACGCAGTGTCACTAAGGCTCTGTTATAATCCATATACAGCCTAGAAGCCTTTTCTCAGTTAGTGGACTCACCCAAATCCATTGAGCACTCTAGTGAGCATAGCCAGGTCTAGAAACAGGGACAATATCTTACTTTAATCTCTGCTACGCATTGCGTGGGACACAGGAAGTCCAAGAGCCTGCATATATGTGGTGGTAAAAAATTCAAAGTATGAGACAATTCAGTGATTCACTCTCTTCGTTCATATGACATCTGTGCAGTGATATGTTCCTTCAGATGTACATTTGGTTGCTTCAAGGTCATCACAAGTTTCCTGCAGGTCACTGAGAATTTGCCTGTCTAGATAAGAAACCGATTTTACAAAGTTGCTGACTATCATCTGTGTACAACACTGTATCTCATGTATTGTTTATTTGGTAACACTGTATGTAGCTTGCACTATACACTGTTGGATGGCCAGAGGACTGTAAATGACGAATTTGAAATGACGTACAAGACAGCTGTTGTGACTAAACTTGAAGTAATACCCTGGTATTTACCCAGAGGAACTGAGTAAAACTATGGGAAACCTCAGTCAGGACAGACAGCCCCCAGGCCAATATTTTAACCTGGATTTACCAAACAAGAGGCAAGAAGTGTATTATGTCAATAAACATAAACGCAGTCAACTTTGAATGAACCTGCAGCACCCCAAAATGTTGGCAGTACTCCTTCCCACATGCTCTATAAGCAGGACAAAATGCAACAAAAATATTTTAAAATCTGTCTTGCGATATTGTAACTAAGTGATTGATAAATTTATGGCTGTGTTCAGTTCATAAATTCCATATTACAATTTCATACAAGATGGAAGTTTAGTTTGCTGCCTGTTTCTGCCCGGTTCTTGCTTGACTTACTCTTCAACCCTGAAGAAAGAGGACCTTTTTGGAACTACAGAGCATTACACTCCCTAACGTCTACTCTTCAGAATCCTGATCTTGTTCACAGGCTGCTGGAAGCACGCTCGATGGTAACACAAGCACAATTATAGTTGGTGTTGTGAACTTTGGTTCAACATTCTTGGCAACTATCCTGATCGACCGTTTTGGACGCAAAGTGCTCCTCTACATCTCATCAGTAGCCATGATAATCTCACTGGCAGTTCTGGGCACATTCTTCTACCTGAAAGACCACACTGACACCAATGTCACCCCATATGGCTGGCTTCCACTTGTCAGTTTCGTCATTTATGTTATTGGTTTCTCATTTGGATTTGGTCCAATTCCATGGCTGATGATGGGAGAAATCTTACCAGGTAAGTCTGCTTACACTTCATAAGAGTAGTTTTATTTTGAGCCAATTGAAGTCAGGGGCCAATAAAATATTTAAATATCTGGAGCCAGACAAATATTTTGGCCACCAGAAAAAGATGTATCACTGTTTTGTGGTGCATTATACATACATCTCATGCCTCCAATCAGTGATGACTGATTTCCTCCCTCTGCTGTAACATATGTCCCGAACAGCTGCAGAAAATCTATTTTAAAAGACAGATTAATTGTTATGACTTGGAAATTATGATCATCTTAACTTCTCTGAATGTGATATGCAATTTCCTCCAAGTCACAGTGACTAAATGAGGCTGCCAAAACTCCAAAAGCCAACTCCCAAATGCTGAATGGAAAATTCGTCAAAATTGTCCAGTAACCACTGGTGACCAGGCAACCACATTTTTTTTTTTAACTCTGTATGCCCTGACACCTCTATTCAACAAAGCTATCACTTTCCCAGACCATACTGTACCAGTGAATAACGAATTCAAGGGGATGTGGAATGGAACAGTCACGCTAAATTTGAGATATTACCTGCCTTTTGGTTGGATGGACTGCTGCCTAAGATTCTTACTGGACACATCTCAAATACAAGTCAAAAGCATTATGCTACAATCAATTCGTGAAATATGTAATTACTCATACAATAATTTTCTTCATATTCTATTGTAGCAAGGATTAGGTCAAAGGCTCATTCCAAAAATAGATAAACTGTTACATCCATTTCTTCCTCTAGAACTGTAATAAGCTTGCCATGATAAAATTTTGGAGCCAGGATAGCATAGTCGGTATAGCAAATGGTTACAGGCTGAACGACCAAGGGGTCAGAGTACGTGTCCCAGTAGGGTCAAGAATTTTCTCTTCCCCACATCATCAAAAACGACTCTGGCGCCTACCCAGCCTCCTATCCAATGGTTACCGGGGATTCTTTCCCTGGGGGTAAAGTGGCAGGGGCATGAAGCTGACCACTCACCTCCATCTAGTGCAAAGGTCAATAAAACATGGGTCTATACATCCGCTCCCTCATACACCTCCATGGTGTAGTGCATAATTAAGCACCAGGACAACTTTACCTTTTACGATAAAAGTTTGTGTCATCCCTTCCATGGTACTATCTAATTCTTCATCCCATATTTTCAAATTATTTTTACAAATCTGGATTTGTTTTTCAGCCAAAATTCGTGGTTCAGCAGCTTCGATCGTGACTGGATTCAACTGGACTTGCACATTTGTTGTCACTAAAACCTTCACTGACCTGATAACAGGTCTGGGCAGTGCCATCACATTCTGGATGTTTGGGGGTATCTGTCTGGCAGGCCTATTCTTTGTTATTTTCTGGGTACCAGAAACGCAAGGAAAGAGTCTTGAAGACATTGAAAAGAAACTTACTGGACAAGTACGAAGAATGAGTTCTATTGCTAATCTCAGACCTCTGCCCATGGCAGTCTAAGGATTATGTAAATTTGTACTCCGAACAATACAAGCACTTGGAAGAGAGTTAGACCTAGAGGACTGAAGGACTCGATGAAGTATTCGAAGCAATGTCCATGGTCATCATAAGTGTCGAATGCAAGATCAGTTAGAGTTTTGTCTGAAGACTGCATGCAAGAATCTCAGAAGAATCTCTACCAAACAGTTAATTAATAATATTTATAATTTTACTTGATCAGTGATACTCGAAAACTAATGACTGTGTCGCTACATAGAACGTAGCTCTCATATCATTTTGTAACACTTCCATTGTATATGAAAGTCTGTTTTTATAAAATAGACTTTGTAAATATTGTACAGACCAAGTGACTGGTCATGATTTTATGACCACTGACAGACAATATATATCATTACACAGCATCCATACCAAATATTACATATATTTTTTTATTATAGTTTACTCATTATTATGATACTGAAAACTACATACGGTAAAGTGAATTTACTCGTGTGACACAAATTTTAACCATTTAAAGCATAGTGATAAATATATGAACCACCTGCTTTAATAATTAAAGATTTTACTGTAGAGTGCATTTATGAGGTTCATATGTTTCTCAGTATATATTTAAATTATTTCTGTATGTAACATAAATTAATTAATATTTTTGTAAGAGAGTGAGAGAGCATATTTTTATTGAGACATGAAAGGAAATTTTAAAAATATTTTTAGGATGAACCTCCTGCTTAAAGGGTTAAATAAGTAATGTATCTTATTGTCTTAACTTGATTTTATGTATGGAGCAATTATTGGGAATATGCATCTAGAGTCACTGTGTTAGTTAATTAAAACACTGACTTCCACTGGACATTCCATTTTTTATGATTATTGTTCTATGAACATGTAAAAATAAGTATTTGTACATATGCTGCCAATGTGTGTTTTTATTCCATATGATGATTGTTAAAATGAAGGCTTCAGAATAATAATTTTAAGCAATTTAAATCTGTAACTAAGCCACAAACAGCCAAAATTCACTGGCAACATTCTCTGTTCCTCTAACCGGTAGCTTTCAAATCACTGGTTCCACAATATGGATGGTACCTGAACAATAAACGTGTATCCTGTGGCACTAGATAACTTTGTTCACCCCAGTTTTCATATTCATCTCTGACCACAAACCACCATCTTATAACTTAAAAGTAATTTTGGAAAACAGTTCTGTATGCCTTGATAATGTGGCACAGTTCAAATATTTGGGAATGACAGCAACAAATTAAAATTTTATTTAGGAGGAAATTAAGAGGAGACTGAATTCGGTTAATGTTTGCTACCATTCAGGCCAGAACCTTTTGTCTTCCTGTCTGCTGTCTAAAAACCTAAAAATCTGAATATACAAAATGATAAGTTTGCCTGTGGTTCTGTATGGGTGTGGAACTTGGTCTCTGACATTAAGGGAGGAACATAGACTGAGGGTGTTTGAGAACAGGGTGTTGAGAATATTTGGACCGAAGAGAGATGAAGTGACAGGAAGTTGGAGAAAACTGCATAATGGGGAGCTTCATAACTTGTACTCTTCTCCAAGTATAATTAGAATGATCAAGTCAAGGAAGATGAGGTGGGCAGGGCATGAAGAACGAATGGGGAGAGGAGGAATGCATATTATAGGATATTGGTGGGAAATCCAGAGGGAAAGAGACCACTGGGAAGACCAAGGCATAGGTGGGTGGACAATATTAAAATGGATCTTGGAGATCTCTTGTGAACATGGTAATGAACCTTCAGATTCCACAAAATGCTCAGAAGTTCTTGAGTAGCTGCAAACTTGCGGCTTCTCAATAAGTACTCAGGTACATGAAGTTAGTTAATTTTGTAATCCAAATGGTAAACACTGGTAATATTAACAGAACAGTTCCAGAAACACAACTAAAACTATTCACTAATTAACAAAATCCTGCCTGGCATTGCTGTATGTTACCAACAGATATTTTTAGCCTACTTTTCTTAATTTGAAAAAATAAAAGTAAGCTTATGAGATCACCCTGTTGTCTTGTGGTGTCTCTGAAAGCCTTCCTTCAATTACTGAATGCCTGAACCAGTCTTTATGAAACTCTGTATGTATATCATGGCACCTCAGCCCATCTCAAAGGCGTACTTCATAAATCCATCCCATCAATCTGTGCGTTTGTATGTGTGTTCCCCTACTGTTGCTAGGCAACAGCTCAGCAGAAACTTCACTGCGGCAACAAATATACATGCAACAGTGTAAGAACTGTGGGATGTGTTGTTCTCTATGCCGTCCATCTCATATCGAAGGAATGCAAGAGATTAGTTCTTCCCAGAACTTGTTATTCTGGTAAAAGGTATACAGTTCTTTCAACACGGCATTATTTCAGTAGTATATTAATATTTTAATACATTTAAACTAAGACTTAAAAAAATGTATCTGAAACTAGTATCTATTATTTCAACTGTGCCTAGCAGGCAAGCTTAATTTTGAAGCTCTGTTTATCAATATAATTTACAATCTTTTTTTCACATAAATTATAAGATACTTTAAACTTACTACAGCATAAATTATAAATTCCTGGATTGAGGTATGCTTTGGCAGAAATCCAACACTCCAAGCATAAGAATTGTGATATTACAATTAACTGAAGGATGAACTGTCGAATATGTGAATGAACAATGTATTGTATAAGCCACATGAGAGATTATGGGTATATTTAATGTTGATTGTATGATGTGAGTGTTGATGTGTGACATAAAAATTATTTATAAAACTGGAATAATCTTAAAATATTTTAAAGAACTTTGTTTTAGTACCTGTGATCCTCTCATAGTGGTAATAAAAGCATGTAAAAAATAAAACGTAAGTTAACATATAAAATGAATGTTGCATTATTTCCCACTTCTTCTTTCACAAACACAACCATTTCTTAAATATTTTATATAGGATTCATCTGTGTGGGTTGAATAAGACTATCAACATATTCTGCAAATCCAACTGCAATGTAACGGCCAACTCTAACACGTGAGATTCAAGACTGTTACGGTAGTGAATGTGAAAATTACAGACTTTTGGAATGTGACTCATGTGGTATGGTACAGAATCTCCTACCTCCACCTACTCAGAAGATGTAGAGAGTAGGCTACTATCAAATATCGGTACCTTTCTAAAAGTCTACGTGGCATCTCATCCCACAGGAGAAATGACAGTACCAATAATATTTTGCTGGTAGTGAGATGTTACTTGTTTTTAATGGTATCCAGTTCTTTGAGAAATAAATTAAATTTATTTACTGCATGACTCCAACCTGATCAGGGGGCATGTGATTAGTTGGTTGAGGCGTTATGCTACAAGCCAGAATGTTGCGAGTTCGATTCCCATTGATGTCACTGGATTTTTCAATTGACCTAATCCTTCTGGCCGCATTACGGTCCTGGGCTCGACTCAGCCTCTAACAGACATGAGTACCAGGAATAGTTCCGAGGGTAAAGGGCAGCTGGCATGTAAGGCTGACAGCCTCACTGCTATCTGTGAGCCAAATATCTAGAAAATATGGGAGCCTCAATGTCTCACGGCCCTATGGGCCTCCATCGCCTGTCACAGGGATAGTTTTAGCTTTACCTTTACCTCCAACCTGACCTAAATTTTGCTAATATTATGTATGTAGTGGATAGGTCCTAAAGTACAATAACATTATGTCACCAAACTAAATATCTGTCCTCTGTGCCATGGCATTTAGATATGTGGCACATACATCACTAATAAGCAAAAGATTATCAAACAGAGTATAAATGTCCTGAAACACAATATCTCCTGCCCCAGCCAAGAAATGAACCCAAATTCCTTGGTTGCCCTGCCTATAGTTTAACCAATATACTATCTTGGTTATATTAACAAAATTTATAACTGTCCCTCTGCTTAATTAAGCACCTTCACATGAAGACATATGGGGGAGAGGAGATAAAGCTCCATGCCTTCTTAACCTCAGGAGCAGATGGGGTGAGCGGTGAGCATCATGCAACAACCACTTTATGCCTGAGGAAAGAACCCCCAACACACATCAAAAAGGCGACTGAATGGGCTCCAGAGGCAGGGCAGAGGCCATGGGGAAAAGAATGATCATCCAGCTAACATCCTAGTTACTGTATTGACTGAGCTACTAATGCTCCCAGAAAACACGAAAAGTGTCCTTAACTGCACTTTTTAATCTACCTGAATGCATATGCTGACACAACAACATGAAGAGGGCATATTCTCTGTACAGCTCTGTCATGCATTGGGCCTGTACATTTCTGCTGGTTCCTTCCTTGTTACCAGAGAATTAAGTCCATGATTTATTTAAACCGTCTTGCAGTGCACACACTCATTTATCTCCTTATCTCCCTTGCACTACATGTTTCGGCATAACAATGCCATCTTCAGGTGCTTACTNTAATATGAGAACAAGGCATGCAATGAACTGGTTTGGCGTGGATAAGTAAGCACCTGAAGATGGCATTGTTATGCCGAAACATGTAGTGCGAGGGAGATAAGGAGATAAATGAGTGTGTGCACTGCAAGACGGTTTAAATAAATCATGGACTTAAATCAGTGCAACAGGACGCTAAAATATAACACCAGAGAATTATTTTCATTTGGAGGTGGGGGGCACAACAGGAAAATTCTACTGAACCTTTTCTGCATGTACATGCACTTGTCAATGGAATTTTGAAAGACATTTTCAGCTTTCTGAAGCCAACTCCTTGAAATAAAATGTTCAGTCCCCAAAACAAAAATCCACAGCAGAAGCAAATAGAGGATAGAAGAAGACAAAAGAATAAGAGAACAGAATGTCAAGAGCATTGGACGAAGATGTACATATATATATATATATATATATATATACATGACCCTATGCTCAACAAAACATTAGGCCTACATCTTAGTCCTATGTTTACATATTGTTTAAATCTCAGATTTAAACAATATGTAAACATACTGACAGGGGGCAAGCGGCCTCCATAATCTAGGGGTAATGTTCCCACCTCATGACCCAAGGTACGTGGGTTCAAACCCGGTGGAGGTCATGGAATTTTTAAGGGCGGAAAAATTCAGGGAACAAGTCCTCCGGGAGGGACTTTAAGCTGTGGGTCCTGTGTCATAGATTTACAGCACGTAAAAGAACCTCATGCCTCAAGGAGGCCTCTGAGCAAAATTAGGCAAAATGTTTCCCGCCCAAGTAGTTTCCAATGCCTCTGGTAGATGGGGAAGTTATCAGGTACCAATGGCAGTAGAGGGCCGACCTTGCTGGCAGAAAGGGGAGAATTATCGGGTACCACTGCCAGTAGAGGGCCGACCTCGCTGGCAGAAAGGGGAGATAGCGGGCACCAGTATCGGTAGGGTATGGCGACAGTAGAAATTAAAGGGGGACGTACAATAGACTATTAGTTGCGGTGCATGGGTAACTGGATACTGACAGGGGGCAACTTCAGAGAATACATGCCAGTTTCCAATCAATACAAAATCAATAACGGGGGCATGCAGTAGCGTAGTTGGTTGAGGCACTATACTACCAGCTGGAAAGTCGCGGGTTCAAGTCCCAATGAGGTCACTGGATTTTTTCAATTGGCCTAATCCTTCCAGCCGCACTATGGCCCTGGGGTCGAATCAGCCTCTAACAGAAATGAGTACCAGGAATTAATTAAATAATTTTCCTTGGGAGTAAAGCGCACCCGGCGTGTAAAGCTGACAACCTTACCGCCATCTCTGAGCCGATTGTCTAGATAATGTGGGAACCTCAACGTCTCACAACCCTATGGTCCTTCACAGCCTGGTACAGGGATAGCTTTACAAACTGAATAACACTAAGTATGTCACTTACACTGAACAACTCTGGCAGTCATTAAGAGGCAGATTTCTATCTTCAATCTGAACAGTTTGTTGTTTGTTTCATTTTCTGTCCCTTCTGATGCCTGACACATACATAATAGTGTACAGCATAAAATAATATAAAAATTGTTAAAAATGAATTTTTGTGGTAGAAATTCTAATTATTATTATTATTAGCAATCTGTTCTATGTCTCAAATTGATTGATCTTTAGCACAGCTGCAAGCTTAAAAGAAATATTTTGAACCTTTATAAGCGTCTTCCTAGAGGCAGATATTCTAATCTGTGGCTGATTATCAGCTACTTATGCAAGTCTGTTCAGGAGTACTTAACATTCATGAGCAGTATAACACACGCAGTCACAGGAGCAAGGCGCAACATAGAGCACAATACACGATAGGGAAAGAGTGCTCCAGCAGAAGATGATAAACGT